GAGCACACGTCCACCCATTCAGAACACGACCAAGTCCCCGCCCCCTCAGTTCAAACCCCACTGGCAGTTAAAAGAAAGAAACAGCAGACATTTCATATTACACTGAGAAGCACAAAGCTAAAAGCACAAGCCTGATGATGATGAATGTGATTTCATCGAAACGTCGCTATGATACTTCTAATCTTACACGGGAGAAAACTTTCTAATAATACCCTTAATCCAAACACTGTATGAAATCATACAATATATCAATAAAGAAAAATATTTGTAGTTCAGGGTTGACATGGTGTTCTCTGAGCTCTATTGTTTTCTTGTAGATCAGTGGCCCCCAATCTTTTAGGCACCAGGGACCAGTTTTGTGGAGAAAGGTTTTTCTGTGGACCGGAGGGGGCGTGGTTTTTTGTGCTGCCTGCATCCTGCAGATGGGGCTTCACTTGTTTGCGTGGCCCGGTTTCTGGCATGCCGTGGACCGGTGCCAGTCCACGGACCAGAGGTTGGGGACCCCTGCTGTAGATGTTTCATTACCCAAACTAGATAACATGATCAGTGCTAGTAGGGAGTTGAGTTTGCTCTCAGTTCATATTCTAGTGGCTTGCCTTGTTGGTAGGGGTGATCTTAGATGTTCTTTGGTTGGGCTGCTTACTGTTAGCCTGTTTTGCAGTTATTTGATTGGGGTATTGTGTACTTCTTGAGTGAGTAATGAGGTGGCCTAGAGGTGAAGATACTCCCACTCAGAAGATTGAGAATTCAATCCTAGGCAGTGACAGATGTTTCTCTATTAGGGCGCAAAGAGAAAATATCTGCTGCGAACTTTTCTTAGGCATCAGGAAGGGCATCTGGCCAGTAAAAAGCTCAGCTTCATTCAGTCGCCCTGATTCCACCCCGAAACAAGGGATTACAGGGTTGTAAAAAGAAAAAAAATACTTCTTGATTATTAGTCTGATGTTAGTTAATCTTGATGTTAATCTATGTTCATCTGAGTGTTGATTGCTGGCGGGGAGGTGTTTTGGTCTTTTTGTTCCTTGGCTTGTTAAGTGGTCAGCACTTTTTGATGAAGTTGCGTGGATATCCATTTTGTTGGAAGATGTTGTATAGATGATCTGTTTCCTTTTTCTGCTGTTCTGAGTTGCTGCAGATATGTTTATGCTTGAGAACTGATCATTCAATTCAATATAGCACAATCAACACAAGCGATAAAAAGGATTCTGTCAACTCTACAACGAACATGGCTGAAGCCATCTTGCTCATTCTAGGTTGCTACAAGAAAGAGGGGGGGTGCGGAGTATTTTTGCTAGTCTAAAAGATACTGGGTCCCGTGGGAACCAAGGTCATTCTATCAGTTAGCTTAGAGCAGGGGTCTTCAAACTTGGCCCTTTTATGACTTGTGCACTTCAACTCCCAGAATTCCTCAGCTAGCGTGCCTGGCTGAGGAATTCTGGGAGTTGAAGTCCACAAGTCATAAAAGGGCCAAGTTTGGACCCATCGCTTAGAGGGTTGAATGTTTTGTTAGAAAGCCCGCCAAATTATTCTATTGGGGAACATAGCCGATTGCATAGCACTGGGGTGGGAAGTTTGACTTTGTAATAGTGTAACTTTTTGGAGGGAATTTCAGACTTGGTTTCACTTTTGATCGTGCCGATATTTTGTAACCAATAAATATGTTCTTTGAGGAAATCTCTAGCCTCGGAGTTCTGATTTTGTTGGTCTTATCATCAGAACCATGACATTAAACCAAGTCTCCTACAAAACCTTATTTTCCCTGGGGTGCTGAGCCCCGGCCACCTACCCACTACTTTGGGGAGGATGCCAAAGACTCAGTGAAGAATCCGCAATGGAGAAGGATGAATCCACCGCTGGTCACAGTGGGGATTTGGCTATCAGAGCGCAAGCGGCTGCTCTGATCACTGAGGAAGTGCTGATGGCAGAGGCTCGGCCCAAGAACCAGATAATCCAACCTGGGAAGTTGTACCGCAGGAGGGAATCACAATCCTGGCAGATCTCTATCAGACAGAGACAACCCCTTAGTACAAAATCACCCCCAAACATGCTGAAGATGAACTGTTATTGATTCCACTCCATGGTTGGGGTTTTTTGTTAGAAAGCCCACCAAATTATTCTATTGGGGAGCATAGCCAGTTGAATAGCACTGGGTTGGGAAGTTTAACTTTGTAATAGTGTAACTCTTTGGAGGGAATTTCAGACTTGGTTTCATTTTTGACTGTGCCAATATTTTATAACCAATAAACATGTTCTTTGAGGAAATCTCTAGCCTCGGAGTTCTGATTTTGTTGATCTTATCATCGGAACCATGACAGATAACATTGTCATACATCAAAATCATCTCAGAAAACCACTAACAGTCAATTACTACTACATGGCATCAGCATAGCACACAAATCAACTAAAGCTCTCCAAAACATCTTAAGTAAACCAAAAAATTGAGCAGCCCCACAAGAAAAAACAAGAGTTATATATAACCTCTACATATACAGAGGAAGTGGTATATATATATATATGCCTTTAATGATGAAAAAACTTTCTTTAATTTCACAACACATGGACAGACTTATCTATAGTTTCAACTGGAAAATTGTGACCATCCTATACCAAGCCAAGTCCAAAAACGCTAGAGAATTATTGGAAACCTGGCACTCCAACAAATCAGCCATTAATAGACACATAGATATAAATAACATCTACATACTATGCAAGGAGACAACCAACAAACTAAAAAGGGAACAAAAAGACCAAAATATCTCCACCCACATGAGCACTGTAGATTAACACCAAGATTAACATCAGACTAACAAGAAGTAAACAGTACTCCAATCAAGTAACTGCAAAACAAGCTAACATTAAACAGCCCAACCAAAGAACCTCTAAGACCACCTCCACCAACACTGACAGAGCAAGCCACTAGAATATGAATTGAGAGCAAACCCCACTCCCTACTACCGTGGCACTGATTATGTTACCTAGTTTGGGTAGTGAAACATCTGTAAGAAAACAACCAAACTCAGAGAGTACCAGGGACTACCTCATCATACAATGTAATGAGCCAGGGCTTATTTTGTATTTTATTTAAAAATCCATACATACTTGGTGTATACTTCATACTAAGTTCTAATCAAACAAAGCATATTATATACCTTGTGGTAATATGTGAACCTAGCTATTGATAAAGAAAACTGAAGTTCTGAAAAAAATATTTAATTATATATTAATTTCATGTTTACTTTTTTATTTCCTAAATTCACAATTTATTGGAAACACATTGGTTTGAGTAAAAATAACTACTTTGGGTGGGAAAGTAGAGATTATTCTGATATTTTATAAAGTATTCTTTTTGTCGTTTCCATTTTAGGGAAAAGCTTATCGTGACCAGCAGCTTGTACTCCTCCATGAACATCTAGAAAAATATTACAGGAGCCGTAGTCGCAAGTGGATTGTATTGTTTCCAGAAGGTGGCTTT